ATATGTATGTATTTACGGCACCATCATATGTCAATTTACTTAAGTATTAATAAAAGTCTGGGGCAGGAGCTACACCCAAATATTAAAAAAATAAAAATAAAAAAATGACTATATAATATTATTATTTGCCAATACTGTGACAGATAGTGTAAAACTTTAAGTATAGTACCAATGCTTTAAACAGACTACTTAAATTAGCCATCAAATATATATATAGCTTGATGTATTTTTGTTATTCCTTAAACCATCTAGCATCCAAATTTGAGTGCTAAAATATTTTTTTATATGTTTTTTATAATTATATAAAATTTTTATTAAACTTAGTCCCCTCTATTTCTAAGCTAAAATAAAAATATAGCATACAATTAATTAGTAATATGTAAAAATTTTAAAATAATTTCAATACTATTGAAGATATTATCTTTTAAATATTACCAATTCTAAACTTTTCTTATAAAATTTTTTTAAAATTTTTAAATTTTTATATATAAACAACTACAAAAAAGCTTTTTTGCTTCTAATTAAAGTTTAAATTTTATATAAAATTTTAAAAAAATTTTATTAATTAAAGTTATTTTTAAAAACCAATTCTATAATCTTGTTTTAAAACTATGAAAAGCAATAAAAAGTTTGTCAAATAATAAAGATAAAATTTTTTTTAAAAAAAATTTAAAATTTTAATATTTTTAGTATATAAACAATTATATATATTTTTTTTATAATATTAAAATAAATACTACTATTTGATAATCTTTATTTTCAAATATTATAATGTAAATTTTTTTTAAAAATATTTTAATATTTAAAAAATTAGATCAAACATAACTTATTTTAATTTTAACATCCAAATTTGGATGCTATACCTGACAGTTTAAGGAATAATATATAGTATTTAAGCTTACTTAATAAAATCCTACCCAATTAAGAGAGTTACTTTAAAATAAAAAAAATAAAAACAATATTATAAAATTTTTTTTCCCTATCGATTATTTGTACCAAAATTTTAACAAATGAAGAACACCACTTTTGTTAGAGAGATGTGACTTTATAGTGGTTTGTCTGGAGATTAACTAGTTTTCTGAAAACTCATCCATAAGTTGATATTCAGCATGCAAGCCAGAAGCATTATTATACAAAATAACTGGCTGTGTGGTGCCCTTGTATAAAAAATTTAAGTGGAGAAACTGTTGGGCTTCTGCTATTGATAAAGCTTTAAAACTATTACTTTAAAAAAAAACACAGGGAAAACAACAGAAGTTCTGAACTTCTAACATACTCACAACTATATACTTTTTACTATATTTCTTCGGTTTTAGAATTTTTTTAGAAATTTTGGCCAAAAAGTGGAAAAATCAGCATACCCTTCCAAAAGATTGGCAATATTTACTCCCTTCAAATTAGAATGCATCTACTGAAATAGAACCTCCTATGAGCTTATTTGGATTCTGCTTTGCCAAATAAACAATAATAGCAGTACTGTTTACAGTATAGGGGATTGGAGGAATCACATATAGAAATTTCTTAATATTAGACATTTTTTTCTTTCTACTTTTTTAGTATATATGGTGTTAGATTAAATTTTTTTTTATGCAATATTATATAATTTTTATAGCCTAATACAGACAATAATAGTGTTATTATGACCATCTTTTTTTCAGCCTTTTCTTCTTGTTTCTTTTTACTTTGTTTTTTTATTTAGTTTAGACTTTTCCTCTTTTTAGTTTTCCTTTTGTTTTTTGTTTTTTTTTGTTTTCTGTTAGTAGTTCTTCTATCTAGGTGACTAGAAGAAGAAGGTTAAGAAAGAAGGTGATCATGATGGGCTGGTGAGTGATCTGGAAATGGGTTAGTTGAAATGAAGCAAGCTGAACCTAACCAGGGAGATTAAACTCATCTTTGGCAGGTTGCACATAGGTCCAATTGGAAACTGGGTGAGCCATATTCTAGTTTTTTTGCTATAAGGCATGATGTAATTCAGACAAATCTCTTGAGAAATATAGTACTTCATCAATAAAGCAAACATGTGACATGACTATCAAATTTAAAAAAAATAAATTAAAAAATTAAAAAAATTAAAAAAAATTTAAAAAAAATTTTAAAAAAAAATCTAAAAAAAGAATAAATCTAACTATATATAACTAGTGGTAATTAGAGTTAGAGTCTCATAGCCTAGTGGTCTAGACACCTAACTCTCTACAAACGAGGTCAACAGTTCAATTACAGCTAGTAGTAATTAATTTAATTAATTATTACTATAATCTTCGGGAGCTTTCGAATATAAAACCCTATGGCAGTAAGACTATATGATATACATATTTGGCTGATAAAAAATTCTTGAAAGGAGCCCCGAGCCATGGAGAAAACTGGGCACTGTGTGTGATATAGGTCATGAAAGTAGAGTGGTTGGTACAAAGTAGATGGCATTACTATTAGTATTTCAAAATAGGGCATGCCATAGCATGCCAATTTAGATATAGTACAGGCATGGTAAGCCAATCATAATAAAACATATAAATATATTATATGTAGCGATAGTATATATATAAGTTATGTATTATAAATATTTATAATTTACATATATACCAATACATACTATACTAATGTTTTATTTTATTACTAAACATGATCAAATGTAATTTCTTTGATTGTTTCATTTTATTATCAAAATATCTAAGTATTAAACTTTATAGTTTCAATTATTTATTTTATCTAGTTTTGGCAAAAAATGGCTTAATATTTTTTTGGCTAAAGTTATTAGTATAATAATAAAGGGTTCAAAGTTAAAATCAGAGAATCCAATATTATTTTTCTAATTTATAATTTATCATAATAAAAATCCTATTTATTTTCACTTATTTGTTAACTTTGAAACCCCCAATGTTTAATTTGTAATATCCTCAAGTGTATTTATTATTTAAAAAAAATGCTATGATATTAATTAAAGTTATATAATTAATATATATTAATTACATATATGCAATGAGATTTATGTGGATTTGGCCATAACTTGTAATTATAACTTGATCTAAAAAAAAAATCATTAAAGAACTTTATTGTATTATATTATAATTACATATTAATAATATATTAAAAATTAGAAATAGAAAGTTATACAACTGCACTCTCTATTATTGCAATGCTGGAGTTAATACTAACTTTTTAAAACTAATAATACCAAGCCAAAATAAGTTGTTATGTATAGTTTAACTTATCTAATTGATATAGCTAAGTTTAAGCAAAATGTAATTAAAATCAATAATAATAATGCAATAGAAAGATCAGTTGTAAAAAATGTGAAAATATCTTGCAAAAATAGCAGGATTTTACTAAAAGTAGGCAGAAATAATTTATTTTTTTAGGGTTAGGCTACCTTATTAATACTTAAACTTATACCTGTATTATTATATCCTGACAAATTTAGGCACATTAGTACTTTTCTAAAGATTTATTTGTTTTATTTAAAATAGTAAATATAAAATTTATTTTTAAAATATTTTTGATAATACAAACAGAAGTTAATTGTTAAAATTTATATAATTAAACTTTGTATTAAACTTTAGTTCTATTATATAATTGATATTACTATTAACTACTTTAGTTTTAGTATTAGTAATATTAGTATTATACTTTGATCTTACCAATTATACTTTGCTATTTTTAAATATTAAAAATATTATATAAAGGTATTTAACCAGTTGTTATTTTTTTATAGACATAATATAATAACCAATATTATGAATTCTGACAATAATTTTGTAACTTCATTTGGTACAATTAGTGAAACTATAGATTTTGATGAAGTTGCAACTTCATCAAGTATTCTTGATACACAAAATGATTTAGAAGATAAGTTCATAGCCCTATCTAATAATTTTGGTATATATTAAATAGGCTTTTTACATTCTAAACAAGTCAAGAATACTAAATCATGTCAATATAATGCAAAGTGTTTATACTATAACAAGATATTTGAAGCACGAAAAGAAACAATAATTAGTTATGTGATAAATATATATTAAAAAATATGAGCAGAAGAAAAAGTTTCTTATATATACAAAATTAAAAAAAATTTAAAGATATGATTGAGTTTTACCCAAATAAAGATACTGAAATGTCTTCAAAAAAGTGTAGAGTTGATTTAACAGATTTTTTTAATAAAGTTTCGATTTTATCTGAAAAAACTAATGAACTTTATACATTATTATTAAAGTTATTAATTTATTGTAATATTCCATTCCGATTTGTTAAAAATCTATATTTCACTTTATTTTTAAAAAAATTATATTCAAGTTATAATTTGCTATTAAAATATACATTAACATATAGAATAATGCAAACAAAATATGCAAGTATATTGTCAGAAATGATTGATCATCTTGAGAAGCTTGATGATTTGACTCTTTCTCTTGATGGATGGACCGATATATCAGAAAATTCAATATATATATATCTTTTAAATAAATTTAGAAATTATTAATATCGAAGACTTTTTTATTAGTCGATAATAGCAAATAATTTGTTAATAGCTCTTGAAGCTTCATTAAAAAATATTAATATAGATTTTGATCAAATTATTGTACTAGTTACAGATAGTCCTTCTGTTATAGTACAACTTTAAAAAAATGTTTCAGAAAAACATTAGCATATAATTGGTGTTAGATGTTGTTTGCACATTTTAACCTAATTTCAAAAGAAATTTTATCTTATCAGCTCTATAAAAATTTAATTAAAAACAATTTAATGCTAGTAAATTTTTTAAAAACTCAACTTATTGAAATACAAAGCTAAAACAATAGGCTATAGATAATAATATCAAACATAATCTACAAACATATTGTGAAACACATTGGTATTCTTTTCAAAAGTTTGTATTTCTGTTTAGAATTATGAAGAGGGTTTTAAAGTTTGTCTTGAATTTAACAATCAATTTTCTGAAGAATGTCTAATTATTTCAACAAAAATTAAAGAAATAATTACAAGCTGACATTATTTTTTAGACAATGAACAGTTAACAACAATTCTTAAATATGTAGTAGATGCAATTGGAAGACTTTAATTACGTAATACAACAGTTGGAGATATTTTTGCTGAATTATTTACAATTTATAAAAAATTAATAACAAGTGAATTTAATGATATTGATCTAGAATTTATTAATTATGCAAAAAACATTATTAATTTTAGAGCAAAAGAGTTTGATGAACTATTATATTATTTAGATTTTTTTTTATATCCAAAATATCGCAAAATAGCTGTATTTAAAAAGTTATCTATTAATAATATATTAATTTATGCTTTAACATTTGCTCAAAAATGAAATTTTACTAGAGAGCAAGCAGAACAAATTTCAAACCAATTAGATAACTATTTTAATAATAAATCACCCTTTAACTCAATTACAGTATTAGAACCACGTTTATATTGGAAACATCTTCTATATTAAGCAAAGGCTTTAAAATTCTTAGCACTTAAAATATTTGCAATTTGCCCTTATACTACTAGAATTGACCAACTTTTTTTATCTATGGATTTAACTAAACCAAAATCACAAAACCAACTATTTATTCCAACATTAAAAATGATTTCACAAATAAAATCTGGTTTAACAAAAGAAATTAGTAAAAAAGACCAGAATAATCAGACATTAAACAGTAATAGTAATAGTGACACAATCTCTACAGAACTAAAAGACTATGATGAGATGTTTTCTTCAGTTTTTAATACTAATAATATTGAGTTAGAAACTAATAAAGTTGAAGAAATTTATACAGAAGTTGAACAAAATTTATCAAATTCGTTTTTGGAACAACTTTTTTAATTTTGATATTGAGGAATTAATATTAGAATCAAATGAAGTGAATATGAATACTAATCGAACTAGAATTACAAGTTAATGGACTTTAGATAAGATTTTAAACAAAAATAATGCTTAGTAAAAAATTACAATACAAAAAATTAATTTCTGCTTTTTTAGTAATTCATAATTATAAAGTAAGTAAAAAGCAGATATGTAGCATAAGTAAAATTTATATCTTATGTATCATCTTTAAATATTGTCAATTATTAATTAGCATATTAATTAATTTTAATCGTCAATTAAAAGTTAACTTAAATCAGTTTTTGATATTAGTTTAACAAATTTTTTTGATAGCAACTTAATTATGATTTATAGTAACTTAATTATAATTTATAGCAGCATAATTATGATTTATAACAACTTAATTATGATTTATAGAGACTTAATTATGATTTATAGCAATTTTATTTTTTTTAATTTGGCAAACTTGCTAATACTGTTTATTAGTATACTAAGGTATTTTGGTTACAAATATCATATATACAATTACAACTCTTTAATGTTTTACAAGATATTAGCTCACCTAGTTACTAAATTAGTATCTATATGTAACCTGCTATATGAGATTTTACCTCCTTAATAACCACCCTGCAACTAGACTAGTTACTAAATCACCAGATAGTTTCCAAACCTCTATTTTTATCATATATATTCCGCTTATATACTACTATACAATGTCTACCAACCAACTTCCATCTCTCATTACTTATTACATTACTCCTAATTCAGTATTTGTATTACTTCCAAATTGGTGTCTTTTAAGTAGACGCTCTTCATGTTTCCAGTTTGGTGTCTCTAGAGGAGTTACTTTAAGAGCCTAGCCATATCTCAAACAGTTAAGTTGCCAAACTAAAATGTTATTTCACATCAATCTAAGTATTTACATCGTACCTCACCAAATTAAACTACTAATTTTTTTATAGTACTCCCCATTGGTATGATGTTACAGAAGTCTAGATCTTTAGAACAGAGTTATGTATCTTATTTAATCACTGTTACAAGCTAGTGATCTGGGACCCACACTTTTGCTATATTTTGTCATAAACTTTCATATAGGTTGTGCGACTATTACTCCCTAGCCTGTCTTTATTTTTGTATCACTGGATTGCTTGCTTTCATGCTTTTTGGAATTTTTTTAGCTAGTTTTTCTTGTTTTTTTGCGCCAGAGATGTTCTATATTTGGTAAAACCATCCTCTTACTACAGTATCTTACTATATTCACTGCTTCTTTCACTACTTCTAGGTATACTGCATATAGCTATCCTCTTAAACAAAATCCCAATGCCACTTTAGGGTTGTTGGTGCTACTTTGCTAATTATGAATTCATATGCACAGCCTTCTGTAGTAAACCTTCTGTGACTCATATTACACGTAGTGCCTAGTCTTTTCCATGGCTCAGGCTCCTTCCAAGAATTCTTTATAGACCAAATATGTATATCACATAGTCTTATCACTAAAGAGTTTTGCATTTAAAAGCTCCCAAAGGTTATAGAGATAATTAATTAAATTAATTACTACTAGCTATAATTGAACTGTTAACTTTGTTTGTGGAGGGTTAAGCATCTAGACCACTAGGCTACGAGACCCTAACCTTTTTATAGCAATTTTATTATAAGTTAAATATTCTTAATATATATGTTAAAAATATGTTTTCTTAAAAATTAAGAGTTCTTTAATATTATGAAATTAGAAATGGTATTTAGTTATCAAATATCTAGATATAGTATATAGTTAATTATAGTTAATTGTTAAGCATATAAGAATTGTAATAATAATAATTGATTAGTAAATTGATATAAATTCAAATATGTATAAAAAGCATATCTTTAATCAATTTGATTCATAAATCCAATTATTCTAATATTGTCTCTTAATATAACTAAAAATCTAACATAATGTCAGATACAAAATTACAAATTGGTATAACTTTTACTAATAGAGAAAATGTTTATTAGATTTTGGATATTTATTCTATCTAATAATCTTTGCCAGATAACATAGTGGTGGCAGAAAAAATTTGTGACCATGTGATTGCTGACTGTTTCTGGCCTACGTAAGATCAAGTGACCGAAAGATAACAGTAAGACAAGATAGATAATCTATAATCATAACATTTATAAAATTTTTGAAACAATATTGTAAATTCTTTGGAACAGAATTCTTTTGAGCAGATAAGATCATAAATTCTTTGGACTAACAAGATTGTATAAACTTGAGATTTTACTTAGAGAGAAATCAGAAAATATAAAGAGTAACAAAGATAAGTTTTATTTTTATTGTGTCAAATTAAGAGATTTAAGTGTATAATTTTACATCAAAAACTCGAACTTCTAACATATTTAGTAGAAAATGTATTTTAAGCACAAATGTTTTTATTATATTAATTTTTTTTTGCAACTATATTTATTATTATTAGTCTATTGCAACCAAAAAGCTAATTTTTCTTTTTTTAATAGTTTAAAAGTGGGTTGCTGTGTTCTGGCTCTTAGAACTTTGTTACATGTAGTAATTTCATCAATAAGAGGCTGTCTAAAGAATTTATATATTTCGTAAAGTCTATTATTTTCAATATTATTATTTATAATATTTACTAATATCTCAAATGCTTTCATGTCTGATATTAGTTCTATTTTTCTGTCTTCGACCATTATATGGCGTTCAAAAACTATTATATTTGGACTATAACTACTTGTTATCTCTGATTCAAGCTATAGTTCTGCAGTATTACTATATTGAGTGTTATCCCAAGTGTCCCAAAGATTATTAGTCAAGTTAATTCTTGAAAGGCTTATTCCAAAAGAGATAAGCGGATAATCATGGCAGCGTGTTGTCTTAAGAAATTGTGGAAAAAATAATGGATGTTCGGTGGAATATTTTTTTACCAAATGCCTGCATATAAAATAAGAATTACACAGAAAGGCGGAACAAGAGTAAATCCAAGAATTTGTATCAGTATAATAACGTTCTAATATGCTTAAGAAAAAAGAAAATAAACAATAATTAGTAAAAATAACAAAACATAAAAACTATAAGAAAAATTTACAAAAGTAATCTTATTTCTTTTTTAATAGCAGCCTTCTAATCATGCTTAAATACATTTCAATATGACAGAAAGTCACAATTATAGTGAAACTTTCTTCAAGTATTTTTTATATCTGGTATAAGTTCATTGGCAAGAATTTCCATTAAGCAATCTAGATGCAGCCGGTTAGATTAATACTTGTAATTATATTTTAAAATATACTAATGAGACTCAGTTATCATGGTGGTCTATGCAATGGGCATTGCTTGTGGATAAACTGCTCATGCAAATAAGCACCAATTTTTTGTATTATACCAGTTTATTCACAAATACCTTCACAAATAACAAAGGTTTCTTTGACTGCAGAACTGGTAGACTTCTAAGACACTTCGATATCGAATTTCATCTGCTATAATAAAAAGATCCTTATTTACAGATATAAGTAGATATAACAATACATATTTTTTGATCATTCTTATTAATTCTTTCTTATACTCTTCAGAACACACATTATTTAGTTGTTCTTCTGGAAGCCAAGTTGGGTCGATAAAAGAAAACTAATTATATGCTTCAAATGCCTTTTGCACTGAATATTAACTTTTATGGGCTTTTTTTTCTTTTAGTTTATGCTCAACTGCTCATTTTATATGCCAAAGACATAGGTGTACTATTGTATAAGGCCAAGCTTTTTAAATAGCTTTTATCTCTCCAAGATCTTTATCCAGAAAAATGAAAGCTGGTTGAATACCTTCATTATACAAATTGATAAAAAATTCTTTAAGTATGCCGACTCAGTTATATACTTCATTGCTGGGATTTGGAAGCAGTTCTTCTAATGCAAAAATTGTATGTACATATAAATATGCAAGGGGAGACTGAATTTGCCACAATTAACATTTACCTAAATTATATTATTATTAGTACTTATAAAAGATTGTTGGTGATTGGTGTAATTGATTTTCTTTTACTAAACTTTTTTTAGTAATTTTGGGTTTCACAAATTTTAAACGATTATAGTCTATATACTCTATATGCGCATGTGCATATGTATAAGCTTGTGTATAAGCAGTGCTGCGCAAGCGCTCCTAAATTTTTGCTTACCAAACATCGGTTGTATATATAAAAAAAATCGCAAATAATAATTAAAAAAGGAAATCCAATTTTTTCTAAAATGCACGAATAAAATTATACATATCTATAGTTGCAAACAATAACAATTAAAAAGGTAATCTATTATTATTAAAATGCACGATTAAAAAGGATTCATTATTTAAAATGTATGAATAAAATAATAAAAATATTGCATATTTAGTTAGTGCTTAAAAGCATTAGTTAACGTTTAGTGTTATACTAAATTACTAGATGCGGGTAAGAATTATTTTTTTTATATGTATAATCCTCATAATAAAGCATAATTGGGGGATAACAGTGCCAAATAAACCTTTTCTATGATGCGGGTGCCAATTAATCTATTGGTAATGGGGTGGTATTTATGATTTTTTTACGATTTGCAATGCAATATGTAATATTTATGCATATATGTGCATAAAGATAAGTAAAGAAGCAATAAATCCTGTTGATGGTCATAACAACAGGTTTTTGTTTAGAGTAATCATGAAGATTAACATAATGAGTAAAGGCTGGGCTTTGCTACGTTAAGATTTACATTTATTATGATAACTCGCAATTATTATACTAAAATCGATAGAAAAACTTTTTATGATGATAGTGCTAAATAATTTATATTATAAAATAATCGTTCAATAAATCCCCAAGATAAGTATGAAGTTTGCTTTAATAATTGTTTTCAAGAAAACATATATATAATTAATTGTAATCATTTAATCATTTAATAAATTACCAGCATATATAAATTTAATTCTGTTCGCTTTAATTATCATTTTCAAGAGAACATATGTATGATTTATCATAATCAGTTAATCATTTAATAAATTACCAGAGTGCATATGAAGTTTAATTCTGTGAGTATGAAATTTAATTCTGTTTGCTTTAATGATTGTTTTCAAG